GCGCAAGCAGTATCACAGTCACCAGCCCAGAGGGAAGTGCAGGCCAGCTGGATGGCAGCGAGCGAAGAAGAACAAGCAGTGTCCACACTGTACGAGGGACCGGAGAACTTGAAGTAGTAGTTGATGCGGCCGGGCGCGAACGCCCTCACACCACCCGTGATGAAGTAGGTGTCGATGTTCTCTGCAGCGTTGATCTCACGCCAATCGTCCGAAGTCTGACCGTAGAAGGTACCAATGCGCTCGAGTTTGGTCGAGGGGGTGCGGTTTGGTACGTATCCAGACATTTCGAGGGCTTCGTAGGCAGTTGTGAGGGCTAGACGACCCATGGGATCAGTCTGGGCAGCCTCACGGGGAGACATGTTGAAAAAGCGGGGGTCGAATAGACCGGGCTCATCGATGAAGCAGCCATAAGGGGTGTGACTCTTGTTCTTGCCCTTGCCTGAGGGGTCGCAGTGGGCCTTTGCGTCGAAACGGTCTGCAGGGACTTCGCGGTGGACATCCAGACCGCGCTCGAGAAGATCCCAGAGCGCCTCAGGGTTGGCAGCACCGGGGAAACGACCAGACATACCAACAATGGCAATCTTGTCGTTCTGGGTACGGCCTCGGCTATCATGCTCAGTTGGCACCCAGGCAGACTGGTCGCGGACGGTGATGGCTGATTGGCCACCATTCCTCAGCGCGGATGCAAGGCTGTTGGTAATGGATGTTACACCAAATGCGGAAACAGAGGACTGTGCGTTGGATGCAGAGGTGACCTGGGAGACGACCTCGGAAAGGAGGCTGTCCCATCTCACAGGCTCAATAAGCATCTCTTGAAGAGCAGTTCGGACCAGCTCCAAAGTGTTGGTAGCAGTCTGGCATTTTCCGGTGGCTGCGGAGTGGACGAGGGCGACTGGGCGGAATTGCTGCAGATGCCTGATGGCGTCCTTGTCGAGGATACGGTCGATATCGGCCTGAGCATACAAGTGAGATGCATGGTAGGGCGCATATACGGGGATAGGCACACGAGCACTGGACTTGAAAGCCTCGTTCTCGAGAAGGCGCTTCGTGGTAGCAGGCGGGCCGCTGATGGTTAGCGCCATTGTACTAACGGCGCTAATGTAAGCCTGAGCCAGGGTCGGGATCTTTTGCTCCTCGTGGAATGCAGCAATGGCGTCCTTGGCAGCATCTTCAGAAATGTTGGTCACAATAGTGGACCATGAATCTTTGGAGGCAGAAGATTGCTCGAGTGCCTCCTTGGCTGCACCAACGCAGGTACCTGCGCGGAAAGCAACCCGGACGGCTTCGGTCGCGAGTGGGAGAAGCTCACTCAGTGACCTGGCAGATGCAACAACAGAACCTGCAAGGAGACCGGTGCAAAGACCGACGACTCGGGTGTTTGATGGGTTTGGAAGCTCTGTTGGGTTCTCGGCAAAGTATCTGAGAGGTCAGCAGGACACTTGACAAGCACACGAAAAAAAAGGCTCACCCAATGTAGTGCGCCAACTGCGCAATGGTAACCATACAACTCTCAATCTCAGGGATTTTCAATCCCTTGGCGTAATATGCTTCCACAAGATCCCATGTTGTCAGGAAGTTGGGGATTTGGTCTCGCTGTGTTCGTGGCAGCTTTTGCACTTCTTCGCGAATCACAACGCTGATCCGGTCGAGAAAGGTCGTCAGGGTCGCGTTGTTCTTCCAGGTGCAAGCCTTCCGCAGGAGCGGGTACTGGTCGGCGGTTTGGTCTCCGAAGATGAGGACATCCATTTTAGCAAAGGGTATAAAAGAAGAATTATAAAAAAAAAAGATGAAAAGATGTAGTAATTGGGTGCCGAAAAAGGCAGAGTAACCTCAAGGTGTATTTAGGAGGTGAAAGGGGTGGGCTTCCAAAGTTAATGGAAGGGTAGCTGGTGTTATATGAAAGCGAAGAGCTCCAGTGTCGTATGACTTAGGCACTTGATGCAAGGGTAATGGCCCAAGAAACTGGAGGTGTAATGGTGGGATAGAAAGGGATCTGGGTCTGGAGGTACTCGTATATGTATGTGATCAGCCTGGAATGATAGGCGTAAGATGTCAAGAAGGTGGTCAGGGCGTGGATCGCGCGATGACAAGCACAGTGCGTGCCGGATCTGTTACAACCCATGTATTGCGGAGCGAAGTACGGCAGAAACGTATTGACGTGAGAATCAGTGTGGCCCGCGGACCACTTCCCTTCCTGGATAGTACAGCCATATTCCGAGGATTGATGGCGTGCAGATGCCGGCTATGCGTCCGAGTAAGCTCGCATGCCTATTGATAGATGGCGCGCTAGACGTGGAGACCAGCGGCTGAGATATGCAGCCAATGCATTGCGGACGATAGTACTTAGAGATGAGACGTGGGGACGTGAGAAGCGAGGGCGCTGTCTCAACTCTGGTCTAGTGGCTCGGATCCCCTCCCAAAAGCCGGGGTGGATAGACGTCGAGTCCGTGTGCTCTACTATCAATTACAGCATCTTCCAAGCAAGTTCAGGCTTAGATCTATGCAGTCAGGAAGAATCCATTCTGGTAAAGTGTGCATGTTGAAGCTGCTTGGAGTGAACCCTGTACACATGTGGAAGACTAGTGGGTACAGGCATCACAGTACAGGACCTCCGGGCAAACCGAGACCCTCGTGGCAGTTCCGTGACACAAGACTGTGGGTGCCATATTCTTCGGTTCAACAGCTTGTCGTACCGAAGTGTTCCAGATAGCATGTATGTACTATGGGGCAGATGGTGAGGTTGACGAGTCAATCAAGGCCTGGTCAATCATCCGGTGAGCGATCACGAACGTTACCGGATCTCTGTCAGCGGTTCCATTGCCACGTATCGAGTACTGTGATGCTACAGCGTTGTTGGCTTTGACCTAGCTTCTGGAGCCCCCGCTCGGACTTATGGCTGGGTGAGCACGCTGGCTGGGAGGTTCAGCATGAGGCATAGCGTACGTCTCGGAATGCCTGGAGCTCGGCGTCTCCTAATGATCATCAGAGCGCCAGCTCATCGGGTCGCCTACTTTGGGTTGGTGTGAAAACAAGCATAAGGAAAGCAAGCATTGCTTTGGGCGGATGGTTGATGTGGATATTCGAGCATCCAAGCGCCCAAAGCCACCAGCCATGGGAAGCGCGCCGTTGAGACGCTCATCTCTACACCCGCCTAACGTTTGCCTGGCGTCAATCATGGCAATTCAAAGGCTGAGCAAGCTTGTTATTCCTGTGAATAGTTACAGTCAGCCATGCCCCATTTCACGGCTTCCCCAATACCGACGCCACAGGCGGTACTCCGGGCTTACGAGGGGAGTAGCATATCTAAAACTGATAGGCTAAGTCGAGGAACGCCTGACGATAGATACGGGCTTGCATCGCTTGTTCCTGTGGGGCGTAAGGTTCTGAATAGTGGGCGAAACCAATCACCTACGCCCTTGGACGGTCATGGTAAGGTTGAGTACGGGGCCAGACGTGCTGATGGGCCGTTTTTTGACCCATATCTCGACAGATACACAATCTAGAATCCAAGCACGGTAGAGCTGGCATGCGGGGGACAGTGCGGGTGGTGGTGCTCGTGATGGGGTGTATTTGTGATTACGAGGTGACGTTCATTACGGAGAGCGGAGAACCGAATAAGCAATGGGAAAGTGATCGACAAGCCTTTCTGCCATCTGCCACCGCCCGCCAACCCTACGACCCAGCCACGCACGACACATGACAGACACCCAACCTTGGAAACAGAACAACGCCTTGTCCCTGACAGCATCAAGCAGATTACATCAACATGGGAAACACTGCCTGCATGCCCTCAGAATAGCAACTCACTCTACAACACCGTAGGAGTATTTTTACAAACACAGTCGAAACGGCCCACACCCAGTGTCAGGGTGGTGGTACGTAGTGGTGGCGCCACCACCACTCGCGTAGTCGCCAGGGCGCAAAGGCAAAAACTCATGGCATGCATTGTGGGAACCCTGAAATGGTTCGTCTCGACACATGTTTCACCCCTCGTATCCACCCCAATCTCGAAGGATGCTCCCAAAAAAATCACCGCATGCGTCTGATACCACGTCGGATCCTGAATACGGTGAGGACAGCCACTCAATTCGAGTTTCCCATGTGTACATGGGCGCGGTCCATGCCCCTTTCTGCACCCGCTTTGCTTTTCTCGAGCCTTTTACTTGGTTTTTGATGCCAGACTGTCTAGTCTCCGCACGCTTGTGTTTTCTCCAAATTAGGATACACCTGCGTGTGCCACACTTCCCCGAGCCTCTAACTCTTTCCGCACAAGTGCCTTGCGCTCCTGGATCTTGCTCTTTCTGGAAGTCGACATCCATTGACGCTGGATCGCACTACAAAGTCACGGGATATACTTTTTCCAACAACGCATACACTGGCGTCAGTCTTGGGGGTAAATTAGTCGCCGACTCGCTACCTTATCCCCAAGTCTTCAAGCCAGACTGTCCCAACACTTGGCAAGTCTTCAGGCATGTGATAGTGCCTATAGGCTAATAGTCAATCAAAATAGCCACTTCGTCAGACGTAACATGGAAGTCACTGCATGAATGAGCCAGTACAAGCAAGGCGATATGCTCACACCAGCTGTACCATCGGCCCCTCTCTCTGACAAGTCACTCATCCGGGTACATTCTGCGGCCTATGAACAATATCTCCTCCTTAGCACATGTCATTCTTCCCCACAGTACGCTCTACAACCACGGCCATCGCCAATGTTCCAAGTCTTTTGCTTGTGCACGGTGCGTAGTGTAGCTGCAGTCCAGCGTGGCGAACATGCACGGTAAGTCTTCCGCATGGACGCCGGAACTGACGGTATACAGATTCTAGTCCAGCCCCTTGATGCTTTATGCAGGCTGCTGGATGGCACAAATCGCCTTGCGGGAATTCTGGCTCGGCAGCTAACAATGCAAAATGCGGGCATTGACCACTGGGAATAGAGCCGCTGCCGAAGAGTTGTATCTTTTCCAGCCTCATTTCACTCCACCCAAAAGCCTCACTGTCTAGACGATCGAGCCACTCGGATTAGCCAAATCATCTGCTGGGGTTTCTTGGGATGTGGCACCACTGGGGCGGGCATATCTACGACATTGCCTTGAACGTTCCATCAGCCAAGCCGAGTGGACGGCGCCCAAGGTTCCTTGGTATTTAGCCCGAACGTGTGGTCGTACCCGGCTCTCGGATCCCTCTACAGGTGTCTTGGATAAGATTGACACCTGAATTGCGCAATGGGCTGGATGTTTTCCAGGGTCCGCATTGATCGGATGTCCGAAGCTCGCCTGGAGACTTTTTGATCCTGCAAGTTTGCAACAAGCAACACAAACCTCACGGATCACATCCGCCCTTGGCTTTCTGCGCACCTTGGGACCGCGACAAGAGTTTGCATGATCGCTTTGCGCTATCATCTCCATGGCGTCACCCCCGTGCTTAGACCACTTTTGTAATTTCTCAACACAAAACATGTCTTGCACACGGATAAGCATCGGGTCTAGTAACTCCTCAGCAACGGGCCGCAATGAATGACATGAGCGGGCCGAGTGACAACGGTAAATATCGATGATGCTCGCATCTGGAATGTCGCTAAGCGCTCCTCTGGTGTCCAAGCAGATGGTTCGCTGGCGACAACTCCCGTCCCGAGGTTTTCCATGGCAGCGGGACGGAACGTTGCTCAGAACACTGGATAGCTGCCCACTATGGGAAAGTGTGCCATGCACAATATATTGGCATGTTAGCACGAGCGCGATTTACGATTTGGATCTCGCATAGCGCATGTTTGCTTTGAACGTTTGTTCGCAGTTGAGGGGCGAAGGAGCCTACGGAGCCTTGTTCCGCACGATTTAGCACAGACACCCCACGCATGAGAGATATTCTGATAGCAAGTGGATCCAGTGAAACCCAAGTTGCACGTTTTAGCGCCTCGATGCTCCAATTGGAATTCCGCTCGTTGCGGCTAAACGGATCGCCCCTTAGTCTGCCAGGCCTTAATTGGGGGGCATCAAACGGCTGCTTGGCAACTCGGACTAGCGCGGGCGTCCGCGCCGAACCGTCGTAGGAATGCCGATTCTACATGACATGACATGTTGGTGTCAAGAGGAATGGAAAAGGGAAAAATGCCTAGTAAGACTTTTAATGATCCTTCCGGAGTTATTTCTAAGATGGTAGGATGTTGCAGTAATCAGGGCAGCACTGCTGGCATGCAAAGATGATGCGGGATGGTAGTAGTCAGTTGCGAATCAGTCTTTTGTGCTACTACATGCAGACCCATTGTCTTCTCTTGCGATCCTTGGGTGAGAGGCCTGTAGTCATGCCTAGGCTTCAGTTGACACGTACTATGGTGTGCCTAGAAGATGCAGGCTGTTCCGTTATGCCCGACAGGCTACCTTGATTTCCAGTCGTCATTCCTATGACATTCGTGAGATTGTTTCCTGCAGCAAAGATTGTACGTAATATTAACACAAGATCAATCACTGCAGTTTGAAGAAAGAATACCGTTCTTCTGTCAAGAAAAAACTCACAAAATTACCGAGGATGAAAAAGGACGTGGTTACTCAACTAGGTAGACTTATTAGTAAACCAGTAGCAGAAACCCACGACGACGGACTTCATCCTTCTGCTTCCTTACGAGCAATAATAATCAAGAATACAACGCTCATTCAATTAACTAGATCACTAATCTCTTCAGGATTAACAAGACCCTAGATATGGAGGCAAAAGATATCCCGTCACACACAACTCCGTCGTATCCTAGTCATTATCCAGATCGCAAACCCTACCACATCGCCATGCCTTAGATAAAGCGCTATTCAATAGCAGCGTCGGTAATGCTACAATCACCCTATGATGTTGATACGCGAGGGGAGCGGTAGCCTAGATGGGGTGGTTCATGACGTTATAGACTGTGGGGCCGGATATATGACGCGGTCATGGACTTTTCGAGGCTACACAACGGCATTCACGCAACAGGACGACTTCCTATTCTGTAATTTTTAGAGTTGAATATGTAGGGGGGGAATACGACGTGCATGGCCATGGGTAAGGTTGATTGATGCTGCATGGTGAAGATAGTGAATACCATTGGATCGGATTTCCAGTGCTGTGGATACCGTCCTGCGTAGATATCTAGGCGCATTGAATGGATTAGAGGTATGCTTATTAACTTCTAGATGTATTTCGCGAAGGCTGTCGGGTATGCAGGTATTCCACGTGGGTATACCGGAATAGGTAGTGGCATGTTTTGTACGATATGAATGATGCACATGCAATGAGGTAATTTACACTTGGAAAAACAGGAGTCCTCTGTTTCCTACGTCTTGTAAAAATTTAGCAAAACTGAATAAATCTCTGGTGATACAGAATCGGCCGTTTCATTTCACTGTGTAACGTCTGGTGATAATCTACTTCCATCAAAACTCTTTTACAATCCACCAAACAATATGCAGTACTAGAATTCAACCTCTAATCAATAATTGCATACAATAAGCCCATTCAATAACATAACACTTCATCGCTATGAACAATTCTATTACTAAATCTCCAGTTCCCAGATCTTCTTTTCGTCCAAAAGAAACGTAACATAACAAACAGCAAGCCCATCCTTTGTACAACCTCAACCCGCCGCCCATCCTACTCTAACAAGGCAACCCCCGCCATCACCATAATCACCTATTATCGTGACTCCAGCCACATTTCCACATCTCGCAACTTTCTCCACGCATATCCCGTACCACGGCCTCCCCCCAAGCCCCAAGAAAAACAACATCAACAACGACACATCACGGTCCTCCAACTCCACTCTTCCATTTTCTAGCCTCTCTCGCTTCATCATCATCATCGCGATCTACCAACCTCTCGCTCTCTCCGCCTCCACATAATCACCCACCTTCCCATTACACACTCGCGATCTACAAACCATCTACGTAATCCCCGTACCTCACCTTTCCCTTTATTCTTTTTTTCCCTTCCCCCCCCCCTACAGCCAGCCACAAACAGACAAGAAATCAACAATCATCCCAGTACGCGCACAACCTTTCATTCTACCTTGGCACCTCGGCATACACAGCATTTTTTTTTCTATCTCACACCGTCTCACCCCCATCCATGCGTCTTTCCAGAGCGCGGAAATGTAACATGGAAACGCCGTGTAACACTCTCACACCGAATACTTCCGGAAAAGGGTAGTTTTGTTCGAGAAAAGAACAAGCTTGCGAGAGAAACAAAAAAAAGAGAGGGAGAGATGGAAGGGGGCCACGTGCGCGGGGTGTAACGGGGGGTGGAGGAGGGAGAGTTTTCGAGGTGCATAATCTAGCTTGAGTGTACGGCATATGTGAGGTTCGGGTTGTACGAGGGGGTAATGGGAAAGGCGGGAAGGGGATGGGAAGGGGAAATGGGAATGTTGGATTGGGAGGGTTACCGTAGCTGGTTATTGTATTTGGGGGAGTATGGGGCGAATGAGGTGGATTTGCGGGAGTTATTGTGGTTGGTGGAGTTATTTTTTTGATGATAGATATGTGTAGAGTTTTTGTTGTTTACTATCGGGAGTGTGGAAGGAATGTGTGATACAGTTACTCTAGCCAAGAGAAAGTACAGGTACTTGGTTTTGGTAACTATGTTGGCTGCGTTGGTTGTAGTCTGATTAAGAGTTTTTGGATCAAGCATTGCTAAGACTTCTGATTGTCAGCATAGATAGACAAAGGCGAGTGAGTTTAGCATCGCAAATGGGAGATATGTAGTGTATTTGAACATTCAATTATTTACAGACAATAATGACTGTTTATTTCAATGGTATCTAGAAGGATAATAAACAGCTTTTGATAATTCAATTTCATGTTGTACAAGAAGACAATTAATACTTTTCAAGAGAGACATTTTTAGAGTTTACCCTATTCGCAACAAGATAGAGCATTTCGGTGACTTTTCGTATGCCACGCAATCATCCACATTGCCTAGAAATAGAAATGTCCCAATCTGTCAACGCACCATGATACTTAACAGGGAACCGCTGTCCACTCTGTTTCCAGAAAATGGGCCATGTAAATTATTTCAAGATAGAACATCGGGCAAATTGCAATGCTGACATTGAAAACATTATTATAGGACGGCTATTTCCAAACCCAAGACACAAGTTGTTTCGCATCGAGAAACAAAACGTACTATCCTCTTATCTAAGAATCTGATTTCCAACAAAAAAAAGATTTATCCCTTAACGCCCTGCACGCTTCTTACTTTTTTGCTGAGTGAGAGAGCAACGTTGTATGACGAGTGCATGCATCGATTTCTGCATAGCCTGAGAGTAAGCGCCCATCGAAAAGCTCTGATGATAACCGTCCTCTTGGGTTTGCGGAACAACGTGTGGAGAAGTGGTGGATACCCCATTGACCTAGCTGAAGCTAGTTAAACATTACCATACGCATACATTACATGTAGATGTGCATGCAGGTAGATGGTGCTTAGCTAGCGGTGCTGCAGCAGGTAAACGCGATTGCGACGTCTCCATTGTTCGGGATGAACGGGGTAGATTTTTGGTTGTCGCGCCGATGGCTTCTCTTCAGAGATTAGCGAGAGCGGTAGGGACGTCCGCACAGTGGGGGCGGCGCGGGAAAAAAATGTTTGAAACAACATATGACGCGGTACTCCGTGTGTAATGACGGAGCTCCTTTGGCGCTCTGCACGTAATCATCTAGAAAACGCTGCAGCGGGAGGGCGCAAGACCGATTCGCTTGTCACTCGCGGCGTGAATCGGCATCGCCATTTGGACTCTGTATGGTATACACATGCAAAAGCAAGACTGTGTGTCGTTGCTGCTTACCAGTGCGCAACAAGTGGGGGGGGGGTGATTCAGGCCCGTGGGGCTGGCGGTTTTCCAGGGCACCAGCAGGCTAAACTGTTTTGCCACTGCATAGTGAGCGAGTACCGGACGGATGTGGGACGTTGTATGGTTGTTGTGGTTATCACTTTGCCGTTTGGGATAGCTGATGATGTCGAGTAGTGAAGGCTTGGGAACGAGGGGGAATTTGTGGCTACTGGGGCCAGCGTTCCGGGCGCTAGTCTCGATTGGGCGCCAACAGCTTAGCCACCAATACTGCTATACATAAGCCCTGCATAATTGTCATCACTGCTGCTTGCGAATGGATTGTGCGGAAATCTATGTAGTCATCTTCTCGTGTGAAACCCACTTGTGCCCCATGGGCCTTTTTCGTGCATAGCCCCGGTCGTGCGAGGCCTTGGACGACGCTCAAGACACATGCTGTACTACTGTCAGGTCAGTGAGTATCAAGATGCCGAAGTGTAACCGCTCCTCGTGGCACGCCGGGCCTGGACTTGGACTGACAAGCGCCGTTCGCCCGCAGCGGGCCCTCTCGGCAGCCCAGTTCCAGTTACCACTGTTCCACTCCCGCCTACTTTGCCCGGCCAATAGGACCATACGGATATTTTAGATGTTCTGCTCGTAAAACACGGTACTTTGGGCCATAGCACGGCTTGAAGCGTACGAAGCCTCTGCATAAAAACGGAAATTGCCCAACTAATTCCATCTCAACACGCTGCTAGGCTGTGTGGCATTAGTCCACTCTGGTTTGCTGTGATGCCGGGCAACAGAACGTCAGCTCACGCGATAAATCCCAGCGCCTGTGCCTTATCGTGGATTACTCGACGTGTTTCACCTGCAGGATCCGCACAGCCTGCTAAACATGCCTCGCTGCCATGTGCTTGTGCCAGAAAGCCTGGTATATCCAAAATAGTAGCTTGTGTATGTATGTATAGTCTCAGCAGGGTTCTACACTCGCGTTTCGTCAGGGATAGTATGTCGATGAAGTCGTGGTTGGCACAGCATTCACGGGTCTGGTTTGCAGTGCTAAAACAAGTGGCCGCTTTGGTTGCGGTTGCAAATACGATGCATGCAGCTGATCAGCAAGCCGTCAGAGGAAGCGGCCGTAACAAGCTGTACCCTTATCACGACATCGCCACGCCGGCACGGAAAAGACTCGCCTCTACTGGCAAATTGTCGTCGTGCGTCCCAACATGGCGGCGTATCCGTGATTGCACTTAATCTGGCTCACCGAGTCACCGGCCGCTGTAGAGTCTCGTATCGAGTAGCCAGAGCGCAAGAACACGGCTAAAGCAGTCGCCATAAGGAATGCCATCATAGGGAGAGACATGTTTGCTATTCAAGAGGAATTCAGCTAGTCTAACGGTCAGTCGGTCAGTCGGTCAGTCAGGCAGTCAGGCCAGCATTGATTACGGTCGAGTAAGGAATTTGAAACAGTAGTCCTGGGGCGTAATGGCCATATGTGGGGTATGGTGATTGGCGAAACGACTGGCAAAAAGCTACGGGGCCTCAAATGGGGCGTAGCGTGTTTCTGGAAATGTTTGTACGGTCCATTCTTAGCAGCAGGCGGCCGTGCCAGAGTCTCAGGCATCCCGTGACGGACGCGATAATGAGAACGTGCGATTGAGCGATTTGCTCGCACCAAGCGGTGGCGCCAAGGCCGGTACCGAAGCGAGTCGCGTAGCAGCGCTTGTTCGGCGATCTCTGGCTCCAGGTATCCCTTTCACGGAGCGATCGGCCTTAGGGCTGGCGTGGGGTAACCCAGATTGGGCCCGCTGGCTGGGACAAGAAACACTTGCTGCATCGCAATTGGAAATGTGCTGTCGCAAATGCACATGGGTATGGCGATCTTTGCCCTCGAGCAGCAGACTTCAGGTAGCCTCTATTGCTCTACCAGCGCCTCGCTCCACCCCAGGCTTGTTGGGTGGCGCGGGGTCTCTGTGGTTATCGTTTGCATCATGAGGAAAGCGGCAGCGGGCGTGTCGATTACGCGGTGAGCGAACGGTTGCTTTGGGGCTTTCACATTGCTCTAGTCGCAGCGGCATATTGCCGCAGAGGCCCCAGGCTTGAGTCGACGCAAGGGCAGGGCCGTGCAGAAGACGGTGAGAAGCGTGGTTCTTGGGTGCATTTGTGAGGAAGCGAAAAAGCACAGTGTGAAGGGCTGTCAAGTCCCAGACCGCAAGTGATCGCCCACAAAGCAATTTTCATGTTGAATCTGTGAGCAGGCTGGCGGTCAAAAGAACAAGTTCTTGCAGTGCGATGGTGAGGCGTGCATTCGAGACGTGGCAGCGAGCAATGGGAGGCGGCCCCGGATGGATGAAGCTGTGGTGGTAGTGGTAGTGACAGGGTCACGTGTGCAGGCGAGCAGAGGGGGGAAGGCGGAGGGCGGGGGCGCTAGACAACAACACGTCGAACTGGATGCTGGTACGTATGTAGTAGGTACATGCCTACGTCCATCCATCCACCCACACACGCCTACATACATATGTACACACATACACCTGTACCCGCCATGTTCCTGGGCGACGCCAGCGCCAGTGACGCACAGGGCTCACCGTTCGAAACAACTGACCAGCACCAGCGAGGCCCACGCCCATCCATGCAAGAGGCACAAAGCACGAGCACGAGGTTGACGGACGAGCAATGGAGACGAGAGCGCCAGCCAGCCGATCCAGTGCAAGTGTGCGAGAGAAGGGATAATTGACAATGCAGCTAGGCCCACAACGGCAGTAGGGAAGAGTCGCTCGCTCCATTGCTCGCTGTGCTCCCTCGCCTGGCTTGCTGGTGAGTGGCCACGGTGACGAGGAGCGCAAAGAAGCAACCGCAGGGCCGTACGTAGCAGCAGTAGTGCCCGCTCTGGCACGGGCGAAGCGCTGGTGGTGCCAAATGCAATGACAAAGGCGACTCGGTGGGCGCCTGTTCTGTTTGTGTGGAAGCTCGACTCAGCCGCGCCATGATGCTACCTGATGCTGCTGACAGGGCATATCACTGCCTGCGCAAGTAACAAGACGCGAATGGGCTTCGTATCCCTCGCAACGGGCGAGCTGGGACGGGCTGAGTCAAGCTAGGCTCGCTGCTGGCAAGGCACATGTCTAGATGGAGACATTGCTGTCCGCGACCCTCCGTCCATACAAGACCACAGTTGCGTACCGACAGGACAGGTCAGGACAGGACGAGACAAGACTCGGGGGCCGCTGATCATGGCGTGTAATACTGCCGTATTGCGGCAATACATTAATTACGGCTCTGTACGCCGTTTTTTTCTTTTCGGTTCATTCGCCTGGCATACCTGGTCCGACTTTGTGGCTGACGCGGACCCGGCGCGCCTCTTCCTCACCCACCCCTCCCCGCCGCACGCACCTCCACCACCTTGACATGCCATCTAGTCCGCGGTGTAGATCTTCAGCCTGCATCCCTGCCATCGCTGAGTCTTATCATCAACGCCGTGCAGATACCCCTGGTCGCTCAAACATCTTCTTCCATGGCTAACCGGGACGGGCTCGACCCACCCAGGAGCCTGGCGCTGCATCTACCTGCGAGGCATTAGCTCATGCCGGAACCCTCCCCCAGTTAATGAATTCATCGTTGCTCAAATGCATAGTCAACACGCCCTGTTAGGCATGGCCGCCAGTCGTACCCGCTCTTACATTGTCTACCTCGACACTTGCCTGCGCCGCCAGAATTTCCTTTTCCCACGCCAATTCGCTCCCCGTGGCTGTTTTCTCTGTTTCCCACGCCCTGCTCTCGCTACTGCTACCTCCCCAGCCTGCTTGGCTTGCTGTACAGCACATGTACCACTTGCTCGGTTCTTGCTTGACCTTGTCCTTCTCACACCACGGTTAGCGAACGGGCTCTGCAGTCAGCTCCACAGCCATCTTGACACACAGTTTTCGTCTGACGTCCCAACCCGAAGCGTCTAAGAATCGACCTGACGTTCGCCTTTCCCACCTTAGCCTCTGTCCTCGTCTCCACTCTATGCTCGCCCCATTGTAACACCTACAAGGACCAGCAATCTTCTGAAGCACTCGTCCACTACCCTGCTTGCTTCTTGGCTCACCGTTACCTGCAGCCACATAGGGCCTCCTCCCCGCTTCAGTCCTCGCCACGCTCTTCCACTCGCCTTTTGATGTCCCCGCCTCCATTTTCATCTTTTTTGATCTGTTCCTGAACCTTGGTCCTTCTTATCCCTACCAATACCCCTTCCAAGTCGACCTTGCAGCCATCACCAACAACTCCTTTGTGGCCAACTTCCTCGTAGTACACGCTTTCTTTTTGAACAGTAAGCATTCGACCCGGATAACCCAAAAATGGTCTTCTGCACATATTGTGGACAGTCGTTCACCAGAGACGAGCATCTGGAACGTCACATCCTTACTCGTAAGTCGCTCTTCGTTCTTCATCGCCCCGGTAGAATCGTACCAGAAAGAATCACACAGGGCTATCACTAACCACTTTTTTGATGAGCAGACACCAATGTAAAGCCATTCAAGTGCTTTACCTGCCATATGAGCTTCGCTCGACGGTACGTTCTTCCAGCCGTGCTCTTTTTCCATGCTCTTATCGAAGATCGAGCTGCTGATGTGCCCACAGAGACCTTTTGCAGAGGCATTATACCGTCCACGGCCGTAACCAAAATAACGAAGAAGGTCTTCCACCGCAAGGGATAATACCCAAGTCAGCCGGCCGCACACCCATTGCCTGCAGCAACTGTGCAAAGACGAAGACCAAGTGCGATAAGAAATTCCCTTGCACCCGATGTGCTCAGCGAAACTTGAAATGCACACTGCGTCCCACCAGGCGGGCGTCCAAAGGCGTCCAGCGGGTGGGTGGTCCTGCTGAAGCTACCAGTGGTGACTCCAGTGAAAGCGGCAGCACCACCGAGAACCAAAACAATTCTGGCAACACTTCTCCCAACCATGAATCTCAATCTCAACCGCAATCACAACAACCGACTGCCCAGTCTTCTCCTGCTCAGATCCATCAACAACCTCAGCTATCCAATGGCCAGCCTTCATCTCAACGGCAATCTCAATCTCCATCAGCATCTCACTCACGAAACCCGTCAATTTCCCAGTCAGTTCAGGCGCCATCACACATCAGCCCTGAGGAGAAGACTCTCCATCTACCACTTACCAACACACCGCCATTCTTCGATCAGTCACCCTCACACGCACTCTCCCAAGCGCCTTCTCTTCTCTCGCCATTGCCCACGCCAGTCACTGGCATGAATAGCTTTGTCTCTTCAACGCCCATGTCTGGATACGACGACTTCGTACGGACAGTACGAGACCAGGGTGATAACGAGAGCCCACAGTTCATGATGGATCCATGGCACAACATGCCCATGGATACTGGTTTCGACCCCATGAGACTAGATCCATCACTAATGATGTCAATGGGCATGGACATGTCCATGGGTCCTCCACCAGAAGGCATCCTTGGGATGATACCCGAAATGTCGCCGGCACAAACATTCGCCCACGCACCAACACCTCGAGTAGACGAATCCTTTTCAGACCTCCAAATCGGTAGTTCTGCCGCAATGTTCTACCCATCAAATAGACAATCTTCCATAGCAGATGCAGGCGTCCCTGACCTGGGTGCAATCATCGCCGCCCAAGATGGCTGGACCGTGTTCCGTTGTACTCCCTCCATTGCCTCGAGTTCCTGCCCGCGCACTGCGAGGTTAAATCTTGAGCGTCTGGAGCTGAGCCTGAAGAACCACGAAGCGTGGAGTAGTTGGACCCCTTCATGGGATGAATCCGACTTTCAGCAAGGAGGACGCATAGCAGTGTCCAAGTTGCAAGAGTCGACGCGTGACAAGCTGCTCGCCATCACTCAAAGCTTCCTCCACAAGGCTCTTGACATCCACAAAGAAGGGAGCAGCACCACGAGTAGCGGTGAGTCCCCTGGCTCAACCGCCTCCCACTCCAACTTTGTTCTTCTGCCACCTGCTCGCGTCCTAGAGTACTTCCTCAAGTCATATGCCAACTCTTTCGAACGTTACTATCCCACCTCTGCGAGGGGCGTGCTGGATACGAATGAGCTGATGCAAAATTACAATGACAAGGCATCAAGTTTGCTCATTCTCATGATGATTGCACAGGGTGCCATGACGATTCCATCGATAGAAGCAAGGTGGTTGACTGGTGGATTTACCGAAGCCTGTCGCATATCACTCTTCGATCTCATTGAGAAGAATATCATCATGGCCGGCGATCCCATTGTGTTGCGTGCAGCCCTTCTCTTCACTGTTCAAGCGGCGTGGAGTGGCGACAAGTGGCAGATGGACATTGCCATGGGACAGCGCGGTATGTATTTCTCGATGCTGCGACATTCTGGTATTCTGGATGTTCGCCCGCCATCAACGCCTCATATGAATGGAACATCAACGACGGACTCGCTGTGGAAGGACTGGCTTCAGCAGGAAAGCCGCAGCCGGTAAGTCTCTGATCTAGTCACATGCCATGACTTACTAATCATTACCCCTAGCCTCATCTATTCCTGGGTCATGGTCGACCAAGACCTCTCACTCTTCCATGACACAGCGCCGCTGTTCTCAGTCACCGAGTTTGGCGCTTCCATGCCAGATTCCGATCGTCTGTGGCAAGCGCAGACTGCTTCAGAGTGGTCCGACATGTTCAATCAAGTACATGAGTTCTCCAACGGCTACTCATCCGTAGGCTCAGGAGCGAGGCCACCGAGTCTCCGAGATCTTTTCCGCTACTTCCTGGATGACGAGATTGTTGTCCAAGACGTGCAGGAGATCCACCTTACACCCATGCACTTGCGCCTGCTGCTGCATCCCCTGCAGACCCTTGTATGCCAGTACTGCCAACTCCTCAGCTGCTTCTCTGATAGCGTAGCATCGCGATCGCGCAATCGGGCCCTCACTGCAGCATCGACACGCGTGCGCCTGGAAGAAGTGCAAGCGCTGCTGGGTCGCTGGTTCGATCTCGCCCAGCGGTACATGAAGGCTAACCCAATCTGCCCCATGATGCAAGCCAACCTCGTCATGTTCCACCTCATCAGCATGAATGCTGTTTCCAACTTTCCAGAAATAGAGCGTCTTGCGCGTCGCGAAGGCATCGATGGCTCGTACCAGCAGATGGTCTGGATGCATAAGAAGTGTTTATCAGATGTCCAAGAAGCCATCACGCACGCTGGCCAAGTCCTCCGTCTGATCCGCGACATGCCACGAGGCATCCGCCCTCCATGGTGGGCAGGCGCCGTATACCGCGCTGCCCTCATTGTCTGGACCGACTCTCTGAACCAGAAAGAATCGCTGAGTCCCAACCAGCAAAATGCGTATCAGCAACAACCGCCCAATGCTGCATTCTCAGTTGATCGTCTTCCTGCCGATCATCCTACCATACTGCGATACATGTCGCGAAGAGATGGTATTCCTACTCTTACCAAGCGTGACGGTACACCTGTTCCTCTGGACAACGGTTTCGCTGTCCTCTCGCATTGTGTTGATGTTATTGATGAGGGTGTCGCTACTAGATTTTCCGACGGCATCCGTAGCAAGCTGCAGAAGCTTGCGCGCGGTTAGAAGATACGATAAATTCTGTTTTTTTCCATTCATGTTCCGGCCATATCCTCGCATGGAGCGAGTTGAAGTGTGCTTAGCGGGCGTCTTCGGCGTTGTCTCATCTTCTGTTGTGTCGTTTTTTGTTTTCCAGCACTTAGAAGATGTCACATCCATCAGTATTCCGCGTCACAGCGTACTTTCGAGATGACTGAAAGGCGGTGTACGCGATTCGCTTCGGCTTTCAACAAGGCATCCACAACGGCGTTGTTCTGGCTTCGGGTCTCGGCTTTATCATTTCGGAATCTGGCCTGGAGGCCTGCTTATGCTGGGAACGAGTGGCATATCAAATGTCAGTGCTATACAATTAGAATGGGCACGTTAGTAATGTATGGTACATAAATTGGATGATGAATTACACTTACCAAATCGTGGATGAGCATTAACGTTGGCCGTGCATGTGTCGAGTGCGACCGGTGATGAGGGGTGCCGTGCCGAATGAGAATCAGTGATGCTATGGCATATCGTCTCAATCATTGAGGGTTGACGACGGTAAGTAGGCCGACCTTTGCTTTCAGTTTAGTTTACTTACTGCGTACCGAACAGTATTCCTTCAACCAGGCAATGCATCTTTCTCTTCCATCTTACTAGATTCGGTTAATGTTTGTTGGTACCAGTGAAGTATAGACCAGTGTCGATTGTCTTGAGCAGAAAAGGCTGACCACGTTCATCTGCCTGAACCATCTCCTCCTTTTCTTGCATCTCATTCGTAGATGCGGGAACGCTCCGGTGCATTTTTTGATCAATCAGTGTCGTCCTCCACAAAAGGAATGACCAGTCGAACTGGTCGCTCCCTCATTGCACTCTTATACCTCCTCGTTTGTTCATTCGCCCACACCCTTGACTGAACCGTTCCGTCCTAGATCATCTGCAAACATGCCTTTTGGGCGTTATTTTCTTTTTCTTTGGCGTTCACCTGTTTCAGATACATGTTGGCCAAGCATGGGGCGCGTTGGTGGTTCACGAGTGGTAATTGGTGTCTTGGGTAGTTGTGAGGCTTTTCATGGCTGGCGGGGTCGAATAAGAGACGCGTGTGGTATCATATGTGGGTATGACGAGACCGGCAGTGGCGGCGGGGTGTTCCTTCTCAGCCGTTTGAACAGATGGGGTAGGCATTTTGATCAGTCTCTGGGATATTGTCGACACCGGAATTCGGATCACGGTTTGGCAGTGAACTGACTAGCAGCACGGGGTATATAAATCCAGCACAGGATCGGTGAAAAGGGGTGAGCAAGGCACTTGGGTTCCGGACAAAGAACCCTACCTGCAACCATTTCACCCCTCTTTTCAAAGCGTTAGTGACGAGACACTTGTGTGGAGCATAATGCGAGGCAAGGCGTCATAAGGCACGTCCCCCCCTCCGCCCCCTTCGATCCTTTACCTAGATCATTTTTCGCCTCTCCTCTTCCCGGACGCTATGCTACGCTACTCACTCGGGTACACACGTCGTCACACCATTAAGACACCCGCCTCATCCCTCCACTATCCATACTATACTAGCCAGTCTGTTCGTTGATCGATCCACTACCCCAGTCAGCAAGCTTTTCGGATAACTTGGACCAACGCTCGTATTGGTCGTTTGCAAAGAAATCCAACCAACTGGATAGTACAACCACCCGCCCACTTGATGCCGGCTAACTCTCTGGGAAACTGCAGATCGGAGAATGCCCATGTCATTCCCCGAACGCAGCACCAATCTACACTACATACTTTTACTGGGCATATCTAGTTGATTACGAGCTTCATATGCAGTAATGATGTTCCGGTGTCAACCAAAATGGTATGCAGAGAGAATAAATCCCCCCGGAGGACAACAGACAACCTGTGCTTTGCTGCATGAAGCCTGCTTTTGGCATTTAAGCTTACGCGTTCAAAAATCATCCGGAGATACGCTGGCCAAATTCAAAGCTGACTGGCTGTTTTTTTTCTCTTGCATCCAGCGACCACGCGTCTTTTCAAGTCTACGCCTGGGCATTCCCTCTGACGTCGTTCTTCGTGTACAAGTTGCCCAGCAACCCCCAACGCACCTAGAGACATGAAACCAGCTAACGCCGCCTCCTCGTAAAAGAGCGAGCAGCAAAAAGACGCCATACACAATTTCGTCACTCTGCCTTCTCTTTCTTCCGCTCTCGCATCTTGCACGCTAAATAATCCACGACAACAAAACGCCAAGACCACGGCTGCCCGCATTGCAATCCCCGTAGTACGTAGGGTACGTATTTCAGGCAACACGACAACCAAGAAGAAGAAAAGAAGCGAACACGCAGAACGCCCACCCGCCCACCCTCACCCATCGGCCATTTCCCGTTTTCAGTCTCCGATGGACAGAGAGAAAGAGAGAGGGGAAAAGAGGGACTAACGTCCTGCATCCTAGATTCCTCGGCTGAAGCCAGAGAATTTACTACGTACCAGTAAGGCATCCAACGCCATAAAGCCCGTAGTTACCCACCTCATTCCTCTCTCCCCTCTTCCCACGAAGATAAAATAGGAAAAGAAAGTACAGTAGTAGTAAACAAACGGTCGGCAAGTCGGACATTACTCCCACCGTCCTCCGCCGCCCGCCGCCCGCCGTTTGCCCAGCCCAGCCCAGCTACCCATCCGTGGCCACTCCTCTCCCCTCCTTCCTTTCCCAGAAGACCGGAGGTATCATCATGAATCGTATATTCCTACAAGTAAAACACAAGCGAACCTACATTCGTATCCTCAACGCCTCCACCCACACTATCCCAAGAAAGAAGGTAGTAGGCATATGTGAAGAGATAGGTATCGGCATAAACCAGATGTAAGTTATGTCCTCCCCCTCCGAACCGCCAACCCCGGCGCAGATCGCTGCGGTTTTGCCCGCCCCGCGGGCTAGCCAAGGCCGCCGCGCATGGGCTTGGGCGTGTTGGTAGACGGAGTACCGGCGGCGATTTTCGGGTCGAGCCCGAATGGGGCGTTGGTTTGAAGTGCGGAGAGGACATGGGGTAGATGTGTATCATGGTTTTTTGATTATACTACTACATTGGACTTTGTGACGAGGGGATTCTACATGTTGACTTGGCAACGGTATATGGGTTGTGAGGTGGGATGGTAAGTAGGTATACACGAGGGCATTACCGGTGCATGGGAAAACGGTATGGGATATGGGGGTTATACGCTGCGATCGACTCCGGGATATACCCGTTACAGGATGATGGGTTAGGCGGGGAAATGAATCGTGAACTGCGTTGATCGGTGGAACCCTGTTTTTCCTGCTCTCTCCATCTGAGTAGTTGGGGTAAGAGTGTGCTACGGGTGGAGGGGGGAGCGAAAGTATCTTGGTCCGTGTAGCATGCATGACACCACGAAGACGTTGGGCGAGACGTTTTTTGGTGTACAGCCGCTTTCAACGGGCTGTCTGTGTGCCAATTTGACAATGATGAGGCGGGGTTCTAGGTGGTTGGTGGGTTGGATTGCTGTTGCTAGAAAAGTGATGCGGTACGATGGGCGAATCGATTGCGTGCTACGTGAAGTACGGTCTGGTACGACGTGGTACAAAGGCCAATATGTGTTGCCATTTTGTTAAATGATATCCTGCATTACACAGCATGGACGCACAATGCTTCATGCTGCCTTTTCAGAGCTTTGACATTGTGGTAAAGCCTATGTCATTTTTGGTATGGTCATCGGCCTTTACGCATGCTACTGTGCCGGAGCTTGTATACAAGGTTGCGGGTACTTCCGCGGATGCTGCAGCGAGATGTTGATGGTATTCATGTCGAAGTGACATGTACTCGCATGGTAAATACACGTGGCATGCGCTCGAGAACCAATGCTATCCCTAAGGATGATCACAGGCCCGAGGTTGTTGTATTGCTGTCGTCAAAACAGCAGAACGCATTTGGACACCCACCAAACGTGAAATAAAAGTGCCGGCCACGTCACGTAGCATATCCATTATCTTTCCCACCACATTCCATGCGTCTGTAATCTGGATGAAAGCAATCCAGCTCGCTCTCACTACCACTTAGCCCTCGCAGACACTCGTATTCGGGCGCGATCTCAATATACACACATGAATCCAATAACTCAAAATAGGCGTTAGTAGAATGAAATTCCGAACATCAAAAGAAGGATACAGTCAGCAATCCGAGAAAGTTCCGTCAGCAACAGGACTGAAGAGATGAAGTGAGGTGGACATGCACGGACGGGGGAGTGGAGTTGGCCTACAAACCCGCGGATCCCCGCCATGGGCCCGCCGCCGCCGGCATCGCTACTAGTTGTTAGCTAGTCCACCCAGCACTTTTGTCGACTGCATTGCGACACCAAGTGCCGTGGAGAGGGAAAACAATCACCGTTGCCGAATTGCACGACTCTCGCACCTTTTGCCGGGGCCCTTTGATCCGAATGCCAAGAATTCGCTGGTTTGAACGGCGGCCCTATCAGCGTGAATGCATGGGGAGCCATGAGCTCTGGTTTGAACAGCTCTCTGCTGTGAACAGCACTTTAGTTTGAGGGCACTACTGGGAAATCATGGTACCGGATCTTACTGAGCTTACCGGACTACCACTACATGGCGGTTCACGGTGATCATATGACATTGTCAGTAGCAGTAGTAGTAGTAAGATTCCCAGGGCTGTACCGGTAGGAGGCGGAGGACCCTCGATGGATGAGTGGCTCACATACACCAAGGCAATGCCTCGATAACGGAGTCCCGTAGACTGCGGAGGTTAGATGCTACAATCCTACAGGGCTGTCGCACCAGGGAACACAAAGTTTTCCCCGCTTCCGTCTGGACAATCTTGAGAGAGACAAGGGCATTCACGTATCGCAATCACTCTGTACAATTCACTCTCAAATATGACCCACTGTAATAGCTTTCTAAGAAAGCCATTTCTATTTCCGTACTTGCAAGAATAATCCTGATTCATAGGGAAACAGAGTTGATGGAAACTTTGGTGTTGCATGTAATCGGGGGGGGCCTAACCCATCCATCCAATGAGAAAATGGACATTCCCATCTTTCGCACTTCGGCCCCTCCTTCCGGACTTCGTGCCCTGAGGCTCAGGCTCTCCTACGGGGACTTGTCACCACGGAACCGCACGCGGGCGCAGGTACACTCGCAGTTTCAGCCCTAGGACCCACGAGCCTTGGGGGCGAGAGCGATGTGCCGGACCCGGGAGGGCCAGTGTGAGATGGTGGTGGGTGTAGCTGGGTGATGGAGGGGGAAACAGCGACGGTTCTCTTTGCAATGGAGAAACAGAATGTAGCTCATGGCCAAAGGGCCATTTTTTTTGTTCCGCCTGGAGTTCCGGATGGCGAACTGGCAGGTATATATGAGGCATTGTTTGACCGTAAGAAGTAGAATATCATCACATCAT